TGTACTAATTAGTGCAACATTTACAATTATAACATATGATCAATTATCTCCATAAAGACAAAATTATGATATATTAATTTATTTATTATATTAAATAATATAAAATAACCAATGAAAGAAAATGAATAGAAAAGTTAAATAAGTTAATATTATTTTATAACTTTTTGTGAATTATTCATGCTTCTACATCATCCAAATATTGACGAATCACTATAAGTTTCTTGTTATTATGCAACCAATTTCAGGACAAATTACCGCATTAACTATATTTGCACTCAACGAATCCCTAAAATAATAAAAAATTCAACGACTAATAGGGAATGTAGAAGTATAAACAATTGTTTTTATTTGAATATCTAAAACATTTTTAGCAATTTGGGTCTTGTATTTATTTGCATTCAATTTTCATCAAAGTAATATGCCGAAAGACTCATTTGTTAAATTTTCAAAATGACCATTTAAGCAATCTACCAAATCATTTTAGTACTTAACAGTAAAATCTAACAACTAAGTTAAAATGTAAATAATTAATTGAGTAATATGACCGGAAAATTAAGACACAAATAAATAAAAAATGTTGTTCGGTAAAAATTTAAGGGAGCCCGACACTATATTAGAACAAAACAAAACAACACAACTACTAATATGGGTGTGTTTGGTACCCATTAAAATTTTCATTATCATTCTTCTACTCATTTTCAACCACACATTATTCATTAAAATAATATTTTCAATCACATCAATAACTTTTTCAACCACACATTCTCCGTCAATTTACTATTCCAAAATACATTCTTCCAAAATAATATCCATCAAACACACCCATAATATAGCAAACAATTACCAAAAAAAAAAAATTGGATAAACTAACCTGAAAATTTAGTAGAAATTTTAAAAAATTATTAGCAAAAAGAAAAGAAATGTGTAAGTTTGAAATAAAATTTTGATTTAATTGTCTATTCAATTGTAATGGGTAGTCGATGAATATGGTTCAGCACCAATTTTTTAATACTTCACCCAATTTGAGGATTTTGAGTTCATAGTTATAATGACCTATATATATTTGTATATGATCTATGAAATTGATAATAGTCTATTTAGGTATTGATTTTACTTAGGTTATGTCTAATATGGATGTATCTTTTCTAATTGGGTTGTGCTCAGTTTTTAATTGAGTTGGATAAAATTTTAAATTATTATTATTATTTTTTTTTGGTGAACGATTTGACGTTTGAAACAATCCGTAACGATTGAATCCTAAACAAATCACTCTGAAGTGGTTTGATTCGGTTCAAAACAAAAATGTCGACGGATCCACATGGATCAAAACCAACGATTTCAAAAAAGCGATTTCGACTCGATTTTGCCATTTGACAATTTCGTTGTCCAGTCCTACTAATCATTGGATAAAATATGTTAATTATTTGGACAATTAAAATTTGATGCACTTTTACTAACTTTGTTTCGTACTCATTATTTTGAAAATATAGTTTTCTCTATCTTATTTTTAATTATATATTTTTTAATAAAATAATATTACATGTAAATTAAAATTTTTGCCTTATTTTTTAGCCATGCGTTCTTTATCAAAAATAAACGGGCTCATAGAAAGTGGTGTAAATATGGGTGAGTCACATTATTTTGGAAGAATATATTTTGGAATAGTAGTTGACGTAGAATGTGTAATTGGAAAAAAAGAAAAAGTTATTAATGTAATAAAAATGTTATTTTATTCAAAAATGTGTGATTAAAATAAGTAGAAGAATGAAAATGAAAATTTTTAACCTTCAAAAAATCAATATTTCTGATTTCTTGCTCCAAAATTTCCCCAAACATTTCCGTGAAGTGAATACACAGGGTTCTAGGGTTTTGCAGAAAATTTATAATTAGCATGTCATCGTCATCTAATAGGCAGACATCAGTTGCGGCCGGAGATCTGCAGGTGGTTGCGGTGGCGGAGAGGCAGGTGAAGGCGCTCCCTCCTCGGCCTCCAGCTTCGATTTCTTCCAATGCTCTAGTTGAGTATACTCCACCCCAACCTAACCCTGAGGATGAGGACCTCGAGGTGAAACTACGCCGTATTATTGAATGTGTGCCCGTTCGGGTCAACAACACCTCTGGTAGTTCCGCTGGTTCTGGCTCCGGTGACTTCCATCAGGTATTTGCATACCTCTTTTTCTGATATGAAGTATTATTACATCACTTAGATTCGCAGTCTGATTTGGTTCATTTGAATTGACCGTTCCTGGATATTGTTATCATTTACGAGAATCACGATATGGCATACTAATTCACCTGAATATGGAGTGTGAAATGTCTGTAGTTGAGATATTTGCCTTTAGTGAGCAATGTCATAGGCTATTATTTTCTATCATGTTCTTTTATATAGGTAAGATTCCATAGCAATATAGAAGCAAAATGGTGGTTCATTTGGTCGAATTCTATGTACTCGCAATACATTTGTTGGAAGATGATGTTTCTTTTGGCAGAAGGGACGTGGTTTGGCGTAGGTAGAACTACATCTGAAGATCGGATGAGAGCTATTCTTGTTTCATCAATTGGGAGCTAATTTAGGATAGTTTTAGTTGAAAGAACTTTGACGAAGAAAAGTCAAATGATTACAAACTAAATAGCAGGTGTCGCAATTTCTGTCATGGCAAACAAACTTGATTCAACTAGTTCATATAGTTAAAGGGTTTATGATTAGGCCAAACAGGTTGCAGCCCTTCTCCCACAGTTATCTGTCTACAAGACCAACTTGTTCAGAGAGGCTGCCATGGTATAAAAATCCCACACCAGGAGCAAATATAGAAGCCAACTTTAAAAATCCCGAAACATGCTCGTTTCACTTATGCCCATTTTTTCAAGTATAGGCTTCTAAAAAGTACCCGATCTCCGGTAGTAAATAAATGGACTTGAATTTGAAAACCTAAAGGTCCACCACCAAAACTGATTAAAATTGAGGTGAAAGCTTCATGCAGCATGCATCTAATGTCCAAGATGCGTAATCCTCTAGTTGTCAAGGGTACGCCTCGCCTCAAAGACCGCAAGGTGTACGCCTCACACGCCTTCAGAAACAATGGATCCACGTTGACATGAAATCGTGAAATGCAACCCATATTGAGTCTTGGGTTGATACTTTATATAGCATGTTGCCACTAACTGTTACTCCTATTTACCAAGCAATGGACAATTCCACTTTTTAACATGGCAATTCAATTTAGCAGGCAGATTTAGAGATGAGAGAAATTGGTTGGCTTGCTAAATTCCCTTGCATCTGTACGCCTAAATTTGGACCATCTGTGGTGACAATGTGTACAGCGTAGTGGGACCCACAAGATATGGTGTCTGCATGTTCACACAAATGGTTTAATCTATGCTCTTGCAAAGCGCGAATGCATTTAGCATTTCTTAACTAAAAAGTAGGGAGAATTTAGGGCTTTTTTGTCAAAAAAAATTTAAAAGCTTTTTCTAACATCATTTATGCAATTAGAATTGGGAAAATGTGGCAACTTTATAAGGCAATCCTTGACTATTAGAACTCTATAGGTGACTGCAGCAACTTTGATGTAAGGATTAAGTATATAGATAATATAGTTGTTGAGTAAACAGCAATGCGAGATTATGGGATGTAATAATAGCCTATAGTGAAATAAGTAACCACCAAAGCTCAATATGGAGAGGTAGGGATGGAATTTAATATAATTATGCCCTAGTCAATTGCAAATAATGGCACTTGTCACATTTAATGCAGATGAACCTGTTAATGCACTTGTCAACATTACAAAACTCGTCTTTGGTAATATGTCGTGTCTGTGTTTAGAGTAAAAATATTTCTCTCTTTTGAGAGGAGGATTAATTCCCTGCTATTAGATGAGAATCCCTTGTAGAGGGGTGTAGTAACACTGAAATTCAAACGTGGAAAACAGAGAACAGAAATTTAAGGTTGCAATTCATAAATTTAAAGCATTGAAACGATTAATATTTTAAATAATTATGCGAAGCTTAAGTGTGAACGCAGAGTTTTTAGATATTAATTAAAAGTTGATAATAAACTTAAATAAAAAGAAGAAGAAACATGTACATCTACCAAACGGAAATTTTGAAAAGGCATCAGCAAGGGTGTTGCCTACTGTAGCTTTGGTTCATCGCCAAGCTCAAGCTCCTAAGGTTTCATTTATGACGCCTTCTGTTTGATTATTTTTATGTATGTGTTTGAATAAATATGTAATGTAATAGTCGCAAGTATGATACCAATATAAAACAGAAATTATACTGCTGTTTAAATAGAAGTGATAAATCTCTTACTCTGTCTGATTTACCAATCTCACAAACCATACTGCTGCTGCCTGAATGCAGTAACACATGCAGCAGAAAAATCCTTTATTGCAAACATTGATTAATATTCAAAATAAAGTATGGGAAACCAATGACAACGATCCATTTCTCCATCGAGGAACAAAAAAAGTTTATAAATTTATACATGGCTCAATCCTCTCAAAGAATGGCATGCAACAATATTAGCTTTGTTGAAAATAGAGTTCTCTCTCTGTCTGGCAGTTTTCCCCTATTATGTCTGAAACTCTAATTTAATTCTTCACTGGATTTAAATTATGCATCTGACCTGAACGCGAGAGATTGGACAAACTGTTCTTTAGATATTATGCGCAACTTTATAGATTTGCATAATAGGTTTCAAAAGAGCAAATTGCCGAGAGCATCTTATATTATCAGATTAGGTTTCTTTTCTTCTACTGGAATATTCTTGCATAGTTTTGGAAGGTCCGATTATTTTATATGTGCCAAATAAGCTCAAATAGTTTTCACCTTTTAGGACTTAATGTGGTTATAGAAATCTTTTTAGTTTAACACCTCATGTTTATCTCCTGCCATGAAGATTTAACCCTTTTGGGTCATGATTACAGTATAGGCAGATGAGACGGAAAGAACAAGATCGGCTCGCAAGGATGGATGCTGATTACCAGAAAAGGAAAGAAATTACAGAATTCATCCAGAGAAGGGAGGAAAGATTAAAAGCTGCAGAGGAGCGCACAGCAAAAAAGCGTTTGAAACGACAGAAAAAGAAACAGAAGAAGCAAGAGAAGTGCAAATT